CAGACTCTTGTCCAGGTTTTTTGTGTGTCTTTGCTCCCTATGTGCTCCGTCTTCCAGTTTCTCTGTCTCGTGTTTTGAATTCATTGTTCCCAGGTGTTTCCTATGTTAATTGTCATTAGTTCCAGGTGTCCCTTGTCTTCCCCTCATCAGTTCCTGTGCATTTAAAGTGTGTTCTAGTTCTTGTCCATTTGTCAGTCGTTAAACGTCATTCTGTCATCCTGATGTTCGAGTCCTGTGATCCCCAGCCTTTGTTAATAAACCCTTTTGAGTACTTTATCTCCGTGTCTCCTCGCTCCTTCGTTCCCGTGTTCCTCGTGTGTGTGCACCGTGACAGTGGTGGTTTTGTAGGCAAACATTAATGCCTTGAATTTAATGCGAGCAGCTACTGGTAGCCAGTGCAAATTGATGAACAGAGGTGTGACATGCGTTATTTTTGGCTCATTAAAGATTAATCTTGCAGGGGCATTTTGGATTAATTGTAGAGGTTTGATAGAAGTGGCTGGAAAACCTGCCAAGAGAGCGTTGCAATAGTCCAGCCTGGATGGAACAAGAGCTTGAACAATGAGTTGTGTTGCATGTTCTGAAAGAAAGGGCCTGATCTTCCTAATGTTGTATAAAGCAAATCTGCAGGAATGGGTAGTCCTGTGTGAATTATATAACATAACACATAAAAGCAGCAGTTTTTATCTTGTTATAGGGGATGAGATAACCTCAAATATACAAACCATATACAAACAAGTATATAGGCATGAAATATCGATTTGAGTTGAAATTGTTTGGTTAGTAGGATGTAATAAGCGGCATATTGTGCATTCAGCTGGTCATTATCGCTTTGTCTGGACTTATTTTCTGATGGTGACTGTACATCATCTGTCCTATAACGAACTGGAACAATTTTCATTTTTTTTTGGTCTTTATTAATATATTATGTTGTTTATTTTATTAAAATATATTTGGGTGAAGTAAATAAAATGTGGCAACATTTGCTCTTAGTTTGTCTTAGTTAAACCCGAAATTTGTCAACAACACTGATTTTTTATCTTTTCTTTAATTGGTTGGAAGTGCAGAATCTCTTCCTTTCTGTCTGGCTCTCAGAGGTCTGATGCCGTTAATGATTTTCACTAAGGACTGATAGTTTCCCATTAATAAAACTGAGAAGGAAATACCATTGAGCACTTGCAAGAGGTATCTACTGCAGGTTAATTAGACAATAATTGGCACTTGTGCAGTGAAAGGTTACAATATTTTGGCTTGAAGGATTGCAGCGAAAATGTCATATTAACATGCAGTACAACCATTATAGAATTCATTTGGCCTTTTTCAAGCAAGACTGTTATCATATGCTGCATAAATATTGGCATCTTCGGACTGCCCTTTTTTCCCAATGTTGGGGCTATTGTTCTGAATTAGTCTGGAATCGATTGCCTTAATGGTTTGGAATTTATAATTGATTCTTACACCCAGAATATTTCCATGGTCAAAAATGACTGGAGCCGACCTTCCTTTAGTACTTTAATAAGGTTCCTATCTCAGTTGAAACAGCTTGTTTCTGACGCTTCAAGCAACAAAAGGTTATAACTGAGATTTGGGAAATAAAGTATAATTTAAACAGAGCCTTGAGGAACTTTGTAATTGATTTAGTTAGGCAGTTCTGGGCCGAATAACATGTTTACCGCTCAGGCTGAGGAAAAGGCTTTGTGACACTCTTTACCAACAAAAAAAGACTGAAACACAAATGTCAAACTTGGTGACTCAAGGTCTCTTGGTGAATAATCTAAATATATCCAGAATCTAGCAAGCAATACACTGGCCAGAAATGAAACTCGTAGGGCATCCAAATCCAAACCATTCTATGTGCACTTTATTTACAATGATTCATTAATATCACAATCCTTAATCTACATGTCACCATCTGCATACAGTCCTGTAGCCTCATAAGTGAGTGCAGAGCATTGGCAAGCCTGGAAATACGGTTTAGTTTTTAACTACAAAAGGTGGTAAAATAAAATCACTTAAAAATGAAGAGAATAGAGAACATAATATAAACGAACATACAAAAAAGATTCGATTCATCCTGTTAAAATGTCATATTTTGCCATAAGTCTGCTGTTCTCTCTGTCTTGGCATTGTCCTACCATTGACATGTCAAACCAAAAGAATGCTAGACATCCTTTGTTATGTAATGACTGATGTGTTGTGTTCAATAAGGTTTATGTAGCAGTTGTTCCCTGGCTCGTACTCATCTCTATTACAAAGGCAAAAGGGTGAGTTCAGTTCGCACACATTGATTTGACTACGCCACTTCCTTTAAAGCACTGTCGTTTAGCCGCTCCATGTAGTTTCGTAGTTCCTTGGAGTCACCAAGCTCAACATCCTGACATACCCACTTAATGTCATTGTCAGGATTGACTCCCAGATTTTCCTTAGCCGGACTAACACTTTCCACTGGGATGGTGGTGAATGTGGTAAACTTCACACGTTTTCTTTTGGTCGTTGGTGAATCGCCTTTGCTGTCTTTTCCGGTGCAGAGCGTAGCGGTTTCGGCTCCTCGGTGCACCTGGCCTTGAACGTTCTTCTGCAAAGAACCGCCGTTGAGAAGGTGGCTCCCTTCCTCTAACCCTCCTAAGCTGGAATCCATAATGGTGATGTGCTCATCGGTCTGCGGAGACAAACTTACGTGGCTCTCCAGAAGTTCGGCGTCGTTTCCCAGCCACACCCAGTCGTGGGCGTGGTTCAAGCTCTCCTGGCCCTCAATCGACATCTCCTTGTGTTGGTACTTGAGGGTATATGAGATGCAATTGATGAGGAAAACCAGAATAGCTAAACAGAAGACTCCTAATAAAGCATACATCCCAATTTCAAGGTCAGTAAGTCCATGAGGTATTTGAAGGTCATCCTCATCCACGTTATGTCCTCGGGGAAGGTCCACTTGAGCGGGGAAGTCTGAGAAGTCAATTGGAATGCCGGGCAACTGGCTCCCATCATCTGAGAGCTTGTCTCCGCCTGGTCTCCTGATGATTGCTGTTTTGGCTGTGGTGGTGATTCTTCTCATGATACCGTCCTCCATGTCTGAGATGGAGCTTCCATAGTAGTGGTTGTCCATTCCGGTCCTATCCGGGAGAGACGGATTCTGTCTGCGGTCTCCTGGTCTGTTGTCCATGTCCTCATCCTGGCCGAAGTCACCCGGTCTCAAGGCGCTTTCGCTACGACCGAACTTCACACGGATGTTGCAGTTTCCAGCCGCCAGGACGCTCCGACGCTTAAATTTCTGACATACTTCAGATACCGTCATTTCCACGTGCACCAGCAGACCTTGACCCTCGGCTCGTGCAGAAATAACTGGCCACCGGCCTGCTGCGTCTTGCCGTACGGACACTACATCCTCATCCAGAGAGGTAGCGGTCAGAACAAAGTGCCCTGGGTTGTACAGGTCCAGAGGAGCCATGGAGCCATCACTGAACTGCAGCCACGCACTGATCAGCGCCTCCTACAGAGGGTAAAGAGAAAAACAAAAGATATGTATGACTGTATCAGCAATAATTGCATGATATCAGCTATTGCAGGGGTGTCCAATCCTGCTCCTGGGGGGCCACTTTTCTACAAATGAACACATCTGAACCAGCTAATCAAGGTTTCTTTAGGACCACTAAAAACTTTCAGACAGGTATGTTGCGGCAAGTTGGAGCTAAAAAGTTTTGATTGTATTTGATTGTGCATGGTAATTTGCTCTTTTCTTACTTGGATGACTTTGTCATCATCTAATGTTCACATAAAGTTAATCTTTAAAAAATCTTTAAATGCTGTCTTTAGGAGATCTCAAAATGAATATCCTTTTTTTTTCATACTGTACATAATGTGATTCCTAAATTGACTTGTAGCACTTAAAATGGCTGATTTGAGTGTTTATTGTTATTTTTAACCTACTTAGACAAAATAGTATTAAGTACAAGCCAAGGGCACTGCTAGCAAGTCTCAAATCTCAATGTCTGTCTACAGTGTTTTTAGCCATCATAGGCTTGCAATGCAAAAGCTGCCTGGAATAAATATTCAACCTCATAAAATGCCTTATTTTGGCCAAATTTTAGTCAGAATGTTTAGAAGGAACTGTAACAAATTAAATTAAGCAATAAAAATATCACAACAATGGTGTCATAAATTTGGCCTCTTTAGGTATTTAAAAGCTGCATTTTCAGGCAGGTCCAGCTAAGGTACATGCTCCTTCTAGAGTAAACAAATGTTATGGTAACACTTTAGTATAGGGACCCGTTCTTACTATGAACTAGTTGCTTATTAGCATGCCTATTATTAACATATTGGCTGTGTATTAGTACTTATAAAGCACATATTGTGCATGACCTTATTCTACATCCCTAATCCGACCTTACTACCTTACTAACTATTAATAAGCAGCAAATTTGGAGTTAATTGAGGTGAAAGTCGTAGTTAATGGTTTGTTAATAGCACGAATTGGACCTTAAAATAAAGTGTAACCTACATTATTACTAAAAAGTGATTTTATATATATAATATCTGCCATATTGAACGTTATCATTTTCATTTGAGTGGTCTGTCTCCTGAAATCAAAGACATACAAAATATCTACTAAAGAAAACATCTGTCATGACTTTTTTTTTCATCCAGAACCCCATGTGGTGACACACGTTAAACTTTTCTAGCATAAAATCAGTAAAAAAAAAAAATATATATATATATATAAGGAACAAAATCACAAAGTGTCTTCATTTTTTTTGTCACAGATGCCATTTCTGAAAGATGGAGATTCATCTTGTATAAAATGCTGCGAGTGACAAAACTATTAAATCAAATCAATGTCATTAGTACAAAACTTAAAAAAACAAACAAAGCAAACCAATTTAATGACCAATAATGCATGTGTACAGACACATTGGATTTTATCAATCTGAAAAGTTAATTATGTACTAATGCCGTGTGAGTGGCTACTCATCAGGTCTATGTGCCTGTGTAGGCAGTAAACAATGAGTTAGCTCCTTCATTTTGTGGTGGAGCCCATGTGCCACTGCGTGTTACTTTACTAATATACTGTGCCTGACTCCACACAGCAATCCTTTATAGGCCATGAGATCAGAGTGGTCTCTGCTCTACTTGGTGGGTCAGAAGGAGTCAGATTAAAAGATATGAGATAACACAGTGCTATTACGGATATGGGGCTGCATTTAGGGATTTGCAACAAACACGCATCTTAAGCTCTTCATTTACCAAGACATTAATGCTCGCTGTCCGCGAATAACACGCTACAAATCCTACGGGGGAGGAAAAACTCCCAGAGCACTCTAATCATGCACTGAGATGGCAAATGAGGGAGGTCAAAATGATATCTGTAATACTTTAAAAGCATACTGTGAGCTCCAGAGGGATTTTGCAGTGTGTTTATATATTCAGGATTGCAATGTGTTTTAAATAGTTTATTTTTGTTGTTGTTGAAATATCTGATTTATTAAGATTTTTGCACCCTTTTGATGGCCAGCATTATTGGAAGATGGACTTGTTTGGTATTAATTAGTGCAAAGCTTTATGTCAGCACTTGAATTGTCATTTTATCACTGGAGATTCCTATGCTGACATTTGCCGTTTCAAACTTTGTGCGCACATATCTTTCACAATGGATGCTTAACGTTAAATTTTTTTTGTCAAATGTGCTGTCTGCAACTTATATTCCAAAGTGACTTGTATAATGCAATTAACGGAATGTATGCAAAACATGCACAAAGCAAACACATTTGGATTCGAGAGAGGTACTTGAGCCCAAGTTTATTTGTATAGCGCATTTCCCCCATGCCAGTCATTTCAATTTTTTTTTCTTCAAATAATTTACTTTAGGCTTGTTTATTATAAATGTTGCTTATAATGAATGGCACTATAATTTATGTTTGTTTAATACTTATACTGAATATTTTTCAGTATAAGTATTCCTCCCAGAAACCTCATGTCACATATAATCTTTTGTTAGTTGCATCTCCCATGTGCTTAATATGAGGAACACTATTTGTGTGATGCACTTGTTTATAGCAGAGACATTGCCTATGCACACTGTTAGACATTTCAAAGGGTTTTTACAGTAACTTTCTTTACGTTTTCTGACTAAAAGCTACCAAAAGCCATTTTAAAGTGGTTAACCAAATAATAATAATAATAATCGCCAGGGATCCCCAGACCAATACAATTAGAGTGCCTCCTCTATTTTAAAACCCACGAACCGCCACTGCTAGGTATTACTGGCATTCAATTAAAACAGACACAATAATTACAAAATGTCAAATTCTTTATTTAAAACATTGCATGTATAACAATTATAAATACAGTCTTCCAATGCTGGAACAGTGCATCTTCATTTCTCCTGTCAGGACATTTAGCAGTGCATTATGTTGTATCATCTGGATTGATCCTAACAAAGAATCTTTAGGCAATAGAAACATAATGGGGAAAAAAGATAAGCAGCCAAAGAATACATAGCCATTTGCAAAACTCAGGTGCTGCTCCAAAACGTGGCCACCACCTTTGCTCACCATCCACTTTGTTAGTGGCAAACCCCATATTAGAATACACTCATCTCTCAAAACCATAGTTGTTCTCTTACCATGAATTATCAGTCTCAGGGACTGGCCTGCTCATGTCTTTCTCGATGCTTCATTGCAGTTGCCTTTACTTTGACTTTACTTTTAGTCATTTAGCAGATGCTTTTATCCAAAGCGACTTACAAATAAGAAAAAGTAATTAAAACTAAAAGCTAAAACTCTATAAATACTATATATATACACATTTAAGAAAATAAAAGAAATTAAATAAAAATGACATGCATACAACAACATTTCAAAACTAAACATTTAAATGAAAACAAAAAAAACATTTCCATTTTGTATGTTGAAGTACTGAAATAACTCAAATTAAATAAAACTAAAACTAAAACTAAATAAAAAGCCTATATAGACATAATAAAAAACGAATAAAATGACAACATTACTACAACTGTAACTAAAACTAAAATAGATAACTAATACAAATCAAACTACATTAGTTTATCAGTAATCCTAAAAAAAAAATAACACTGAGCCAAACACACATGCTAAAATAACAACAACTTACTGACACATAGTAAGAAATGGTTATAAAAAACTGAAACAGAAGTGAAACAAGTAGTAGGAAAGAGGAGAAATAAAAAGCGATACAAATAAAACGCGATACCTTTAAAACACAGATACAAAAAATGCAGTAAATCTTAAATTCCATTAAAAACTATAACAAACAAATTCTAAAACTAGAAAGGCAGCTAGCCATAAAATTTGTTTAACCTAGCTAACATACGATTTTATTTTCTTAATAGGCTACTGGCCAACATTAACTACTAACACCTGAACAAAATTTCACATTAGTTAACTTAATGTTAATACAAGATAAGTGTTGCTCATTAAAAGTAATTTTAATTCAGTAATTCAATAAGCTGACAAAACTCGTTTGAAACGACAGCGCAGTTTACCATAGTAAAGTTTGTTACCGCTAAAGTTATGTTGACGGGTAAATGTTACTAGGTTAAACTGGTGTGCAAAAATGTTAACACAAACACACAGACAAACGTACATATATTTTTTTACCTTGCTTACTGGTCTTATTCTCTTGTAAGGTGCATCGACACATAGCGCAGATCTTCTCCGGAACTCTTCCACTCTCGTGGGTTCATCCCCGGGCAAAACCAAGCGGCAAAAAAAAACTTGAAAGATTATTTACGATTAATTATTGTTGCCAAGTTATCTAGTCGTTGCTTGTTTACAGTGCTTTGTTATATGGAGCAGTTTGTTAGATCGTGATCTATCTAATTTGTTTGTCTAAAGTGCCGACAGATGTATGAAAGTACACAAGTCACACCGTAATATAAAAGCGCAGACTTTAATGTACAGTAAAACAAAGGCAGAATACCGTATAACTCCAGGCTGGCACAGTAATATTGACGAACGGCTAAACAAATGCAGAGCACCGTAACTTAATTTGAGCGATCTAAAACAAAGTCAAAGAGCGGTAACTGATGATACTGTGTTCTGTCTTGGTTTCTCCTGAGCTTTTCTCCAAGATACTTATACACATGATAAAGGAGGTCATATATGTCCCAAAATGATCAATAACTCATTTCGACCAAAAACGAAGTTATGGTGTTTTGTCTTTGCATGGCAACACTGCTGTCACCATAGATGGGCATGGTTTCAGCAACTAGTGCCTCAGCTTCACCCACGTCCCACCTTTTTGCCCATTTTCGATTATCTGGGAGTGACGCGTGGTGACGCGCTGCCAAGATGGCAGCGGTCGGCTCCACCTACTTTAGGCTTCAAAAATGCTCTTCTGAACCCTACGAGTGACGTCACGGACACTACGTCCATGTTTTTTTACAGTCTATGGGCAAAACCCGCGGTGCTGCCATGCTGGTTCCGTGTCTTCCTTGGATGCGAGTGGCGCGGCGTGACTCAATAAAAGACAATATAGAACCCATTATACTATCTACAGTGGATGCGGACAGTAAAGTGATGCCCCGGTATATTTCTGACGTACAGATGTACTCCAAGCACTCGTGCTGTTTCTGACATGAAGGACAAACGGATTTTCCAATCATTACAAGCGATGTAACATCCAGTGTAGTCAGTCCCAAGCTGTTGCGGCGTTGTAGACACAGTGTAAGTCAAATCTTGTCAATCCAAATGTGAGAAATAAGAAAAATAAAGCAGCCTCAATAGAATTGCGCCAAAGAGGCTGCTACATCAAATACAGTAGTATACAGCAATTTTTAAAAATAGAGTAAGTCACTGTATGTGGGGTTTAACGTCACAGAAAATTCCCATGATGCAAAGGGTATTACAGCTATTTACTGTAAAGCGAATTTGCAGTATTATACTGGGTGATATACAGTAAATAACTGTAGAAATGACTAACTGTCTAACAGTGTAGCGTGCACCACATCAGTCATTTATAAGGCTCTATTTCAACTACAGACATTTTAAGCACATTTTACATGGTGCACACCATCTGCATGTTCTCAGTTCATTTTCAATAGGAGACACGTGGCAGATCGCAGATCGGGGACAGCGCTGCACACCATGAAAGATAACCGTTACAGCTTGTTGCTCACGTGCGATGGTGAGATCACAAGAAAAGCTTGCAAACAATCACATACAGTGTAAAATACCATTTAGGATGCTGCCTTTGTAGAAAATGTGCAGCTCACTTGGTTTTGAAACCATTTTAGTGGTAAATGTGCATAAAGATGAGGAAGAATAAATTTCTCTTTGTTTGAAACTTGCTTTGCTTGAAACTTCATGTGTTCATGAAAAACAGCTCTGGTACAGTACCAGTGGTACTTAATATGCATTGTCATACCAAGTTCCACAAGAATTAACAGAGCCTCTGAGACACACAAACACATGTATGTCTTGCTTAATTTAAAGGATTGAACTAACAGCACTGCGCTGATCCTAAACTGAGGTGCGTCATATTGATTAAGACTGTCAACTAGAAGATAATTCCAGGTAGGCTACTGAGGCACTGCACATTCACCACCTCCTCTGAGACCATTAACAAAGCCATAATTAAGCATGACAGATTTAACCATGGGCAAACGTAGTTACTTTCATCCCTGGGTTATACATCACACTTGTGCAACAAATGACCAATGTAGAAAAACGCTCCTTAATAGGCTGTTATAGAAAGAGGGAATTGCAGTGCGTTTCAAAGGCGTCGTAATATAATGGACTACTGTTAGTGAATGCAAGTAGAGCATTTTCTTGGAAGTATTTTCCAGAGAAATGCACACCAAATGGTTTTCCAAGAGAGTATAGCTGTTTGAATCTTACAATGAAACAACGTAATCAAAAATAAAACAAGCTAAAAGATGTTTTACATTAACAAAACTCCTGTCCTGGCCATCATTTCACTCTGGTTCATCCCATTGCATGTAAGTTTTATATGAGTGATCAATTAAAAGGGTTAAGTTCTATAGCTTTGTTGTCAACGAAATTGTGTCTTCAGCACAAGTCATAGACTTGTTCGGCACCCATTGGTTGTTCAGGAAAACGGTGAATATTCTGTTTTTGTGCTTTGAAATTACCTGTTTAGGATTGCTTAGCACTTCCTGTGTGGTTGCTGTGGCGCTGATGGCTCGGTTACTTCCTGTGCTGAGCTGCAGGTTGAGTGTGAGACCACTGACCAACTGCAGGCCCAGTTCAGTGATGGCCACTCGATCATCCACAACCCTCACCGTCTTCTCTGCCAGGATGGAGTCTGACAGCGGGGACAGAACCTAGAGCAGAGCATACACACAAAAGCACATTATTAAATACAAGCATCATAAGCAATCTGGGTTGGTGGAGACAGCGCTGCCCACAGGGATTACCTCCAATTACAGGGTGAAATATCAAAAACACAGAGCTGTAAACCCCGTCTAGTGATTGATGCAATAAAAAGGTGTTACAGACAGTCTCCTGTCTGCCCACACTTTCACTGCAGACGAGCACATATTAGGTATCTGGTCTCAAAGCAGACAGGAAAAACAAAATAAATCCGGATGACTAACACCTCCTCAGACACATGTATGCTGCAATATCAGCCCACTTTACTGAAGAAAAGTGAGCTGTGAAAAAGGTAACATCTTAGTATTCAGCCTTACAGAAAAAGTACGCTGGGAGTACCACGGTACAGTGACGGTACTTGATGTACAGAACAAGTCAATGACAAAGAAACTGAAAAAATCTAGTTTAAAATGTGACAAGCCCTTAGAAATGTACTCTTTGTATTCACGTTGGTTTCATGTGGTTTTAAAAACCTACCATTTTCAAGAAAAAAAATCATGTAGTTTTGAAAAAATGAAAAAAAAAAAAAAAAAATGTTCTATATGAAAAGCTTCAATTTAAAGGAATTCACCCCAAAATTTTTATTTTTCTGACAATGTACTCACTCGCAGGTCATCTAAGATGTAGATGAGTTTGTTTTTTCATCAGAACAGATTTGAACAAATTTAGCATTTAGCAATTTGCTCACCAGTGGATCCTATGCAGTGAATAGGTGCTGTCAGAATGAGAGTCCAAACAAATGATAAAAACATCACAATAATAATCTACAAGTAATCCACACCACTCCAGTCGAGTCCACATGACTCCAATTAACATCCATAATATTGCTTTCTCCAGTCAAAAAGCAGTCTCTAAATCAGGAGAGAAATATGCACACATCACCATTTACAAATGAAAACAGTCCAAAACAGCTCCAAACAAACAAACTGGTGGATGTTGATGTGAGAGGACAACAGGGAATGGACTTTTTCACTGAAGAAAGAGTTATTACGGATAATGGACTCATATTTTGGTGACAGTATAAAGTTAAAATGTCTGGATGGATTTGCTTCTTAGAAACCAGCTTATCACTTCACAAGACATTAACTGATGGACTTGAGTCGTGTGGATTACTTGTGGATTATTGTGATGTTTTTATCAGCCGTTTGATAAAACGCACCCATTCACTGCAGAGGATCCATTGGTGAGCAAGTGATACAATCCTAAATTTCTCCAAATCTGTTCCAATGAAGAAACAAACTACACCTTGGATGGCCTGAAGGCGAGAAAACTTTCATTTCTGGGTGAACAATGGGACTAAAAATGTCTTGTGGCGTAACCAGCAAGTAAAAATTAAAAACATATTTTCCTTACACCATGAATACACATTAGTGTACGTTTTTAAGTGTATTTTTCAGAGTAAAAATATCTTTTATAATTTAAAAGACACATTGACTTTAAATTGGCAGACATTGGCAGACAGGGTTTATAAATATTGAAAATATACATACCTGAATGCTGGTCATGCCTGTATCCATGCCCTCCAAAACACGTCCCTCTCTCAGCCTAGCGATTCGTGGATTCTCTACCTTCAGGAAGTCCCAGACTAACTCCGTAATATCCACCTGCCAATCGCTGCCCAGCATGTGGGCCACCTGACCTCGCGTCTCTGAGGATTCAGCCACAAAGTGTGTGAGCACACGCACCATGGCCATCTGGTACTGCAGAGTACACGTCTTTCCTCTCCGCTCTTCATCATCGTCATCTTCACTGTCCCGCGTTGACCTGGGAATGGAAAGGATAAAAGTTTGAATCTGCACCAAGATTACATTTCATTATTTTTTTGTAAACTTCAGCATATTTACTGTATTACCCAATCATGTTTTGTTATCCTCTTCAAAGGTTTCATGAAAGATTTTTTTATGAAACGTTTCACAAAACAACCTTTTTTTTAACAGAAATATCTGTTTGTTGACACGCCTAAATTAAGCTTCATTAGGCTGATGCACCCAATCATGGGAAGCTAATTAAACATATCAGTTTTATTAAGTGCTCTACGACTGAGTGACATTTACAAAAAGAGCTGGAAATACAATGAAGCTTTTGCTTTCATTCAGGACTGTTCATGTGTTTAATGTTAGAGGCCACTGGATTAAGGTAAAGAGATTCACAAAGAACATATTCATATTTGAAGACAGAGCTTAATGTGCTTTTGTAATCAAAGATCAGTTCAAGTATTCCAGTCAAAATTGCTTCATGAATGTTTGTTATACACATGTGCATCATCTATAGGTGAAAAATTAAAGTAAAGGTCATAGTCCTCTCTAGATGTTTTTTTGCGTGGTACAGCAAAATCATAAAATCACTGGAAGAAAACCTCTCTGTTGTGTTTAAACGAAAGAGATTGCATTAAATTGATTTCTGGCTATCTGTGAGGAAGGTATGTGTGTGTAGGTCCGCTGGATCAGATTACAGTGTGTGTAGGTATGTTAATGTGGCAGATTGACTTTCTCAGCACTGTAATTGAACCCATTTCATAATGCAATCACATACAACAATTACATCATGAGAAAAAAAATCCTCCACTCACATGCAGAACAATTGTTTTGTTCCACCTCATTAATTATTTCTCTCTCTTACCACACACACACACACACACACTTTAATGCATACTGCATAATGCAATACAACACTGCAGTAATTAATAATGAGGTTTGGTGCAAACACATTTATATGACACACACACACACACACACACACACACACACACACACACACACACACACACACACACACCTAAGAAATACTTTCTTCAGACCCTTACTGCTCGTGACTGCAAAAAAGTTTACATTAATATGAACTAACACAAATTACCAATGAGCAATAGTATATTTATAAATAAATTAACCTAGATTAATAAATGCCTTAACCAATTAACTAATGTTAATGAACCCTGTTATACAGTTTTTTTCAACTGCTTACACACAAAATCTTTACTTGTCACACAATCTCTAAAACCTGACACTCAAACACCAGAACCACACACCAAATCTGCAAAACCATACACTAATTCTCGGCCCTTGACTCAGTTTTTTATTTATTTCATAAAACACTTTTTGCAAAACACACAACACACAAATCTCTATGTAACACGCACAACTCTAACAGGAATTAATAGTATGGCAAAGGTGTTTGCAAATGTTTGCTTTTGAGATGTGTTAGTGCTTCATTTTGCAAGAGATGTGAGGCATTTTGCATTTTGTGAGTGAATTTCTTGGATTTGTGTGTAAAGTTTTGAAAAAAAGAGGCACAGTTTTGAAAATGTGTGTAAGCAGTTGAAAAAAAAAACAATTAAAAAGTATGTTTGTGCTATTCTTATATATTATATTTATTTCATCTAATAAACAGCACTTGTTTTGATATTTTGTTATGCTTGTAAATGTGTGATTTTCAGCAAAAATGTAGTTTTTGTTAATTTTTGTATTTGATTTTATAAAAGTATTTTCTATACATATACTATTTTTATATTTTCTGTTTTAGTAATTGTGTTGTGTTTTGCCATTTTATAATTTGTCTACATGTCTATATCATTGTTTGTTAAGATTTATTTTTTTAGTTCATTTAGTTTTCATTTTTGTACAGCTTAAACTGAACAAAAAAGAGAAACACTCAAATTAAAAAAAGTTTTGTATGCTTATTTTTTTCAATTAATTATTTCAGTTAATGTTAATTTTATTTCAAGTAATGGCATCTTTTATGGGTTTAGTTTTAGTTAACAATAATAACCCTGAAATGCCGAACAATTATGAATTTGACTGCACTTTAAGGCAGTGACATTCAAAAACTGCTATAATTATGACTTCCAGGTCCAAATACCTTTTGGGGACATTTTACTTTTTTTTTTTTTTTCCTCAAACTCCAGGTAGTCAACATTTATTGGCTAGTTAAGAACAATAACGTTTGCAAAATGATCAAAACACTGCTCTGCTTTTTCACCCTTTGTAAGAGAAAATAAGTGCAACCCTATTACGACATGAAAATCCTTCCATGGACTTTCCACCGTAAAAAAAAGGCTTCATGGGAAGGGAAGAGATATTAACAAGTGGCATTTTGTGATTTAGCCATCAGTTGTTCTGGGTGAGATCACAGTGTCAGCGCTCAGTTATTACCTACACAGGAGGTCTGAAGACGATTCAATAAACAATATTTTCCACAGAGAAGACAGACGTCCCTTAAGGGGGCAATCAGCTCCACATATCTCTCTCACACAGCGTCATTCCTTGATATAAACAGGAATAGTCATTCCCAGCGGTCAGACTTTATCATGCCTGCCTGGTGTTGAGAGAACACTGTTAACACCAGGCCGTAAAGTGCTGGCCAGCCTGGCACTCTACACACTACAGGCTTGGCACGAGCACAAAAACGCTCTCTCGGGTCAGTTTCTCTCTCTCTCGCACTACACGGACCAACTGGCAGCGCATTTGGCAGAGGACGAAGAGCCTTGCGATTCTCTCTCTCATACACACATATAGCGGTAAACAAATGGATCATCAGTGCCCACTAGCACCAAACCGTAATGCGGTTACATCAGCAAGGTCATCCCTGTTATGCCACGATAAATATAAATGAGAATGTGTGGAGAGGGAAATCAGTGGTGAATGCAAAACACACACGTTCCTCTGCCACTTTTTCAGACGATGAGCCAAAATGGACACGTTCTCCTCTCTTGCATGAAAAATGTCTCTGGGTCAAGTAAAACAAACGTAAGGTGAATTTGCCATTTTTAACATGCTCGTTCATCCTTGCTAAACATGTTCACATTGTGATAATCACAGGAGAGATGAATGTACTTTGGCATGCGCTGTGTAGACCGGACTGCAGCTGTGAGAGCCAACTCTAGCTCTTGCTAATGAGCGTCTGGGCCACCGAACACATGTTCATAAACTGCTGACAGAGGCCCTTGACTTTCTGTAGCACTAGGTGAGCGTGGCTAGCGGAGGCAGGCTAATTAGTCGTGATGTGCTGACGATGAAGTCCTTCATTTAACAGCATGCGTTTTAGAGGGTACATGTGGAGATGAAGTCATTTGGGTAAGATTCAACACATTTTGTGTTTTGATACCTCAAAACAACCTTGCTAACAAGAACACAATTAACAGGAGCCCAAAAACCGAGTGGAGGCTCTAAACCAGACTTAGCTGTTAAAAAAAATCCTGCATGAAGTCATGCAAGAACCTCTTCACCTGCAGAATCCTAAACTGCCTGGAATGAAAGCAAATTTCATTGGCTGAACATTTTTAAAGAGATAGTTCAGCCCACAAAAATGCATATTCCATCATCACATTTACTCACCCTCATGTTGCGCCAAACCTGTATGAATTTCTTTCTGCTGTTGAACACGAAGATATTTTGAAGAATGTTTATAACAGCCATTGACTTCCATAGTATTTTTTTTTAAATATATTTTCATTCAATCCTGC